GAACTTTCACAGGAACACTGCAACCTGGTCGCATAGGTGGGGTCACTGAGACTACTGCTCCCTTCTCACAGGTCCACCCGCCCTCCCCCCCCCCCCCTTACTGGATGATAAACGAGAGGGAACACAAATGAGGGAAGCAGCCACTAAGTCTAAGTCAGGAAGTCTAAGCGACTCCGCCCGTATGATCAGCGTCAAATTTACATTAAATCAATTATTTATTTCATTTATTTTATTTTATTTATTACATTAAATACATTGCATTACATATTTCATTTATTACATTAAATCAATTTTTGTAGTAAGCACAGTAATGTAATGAACATCGAGCGAAGCTTCAGGGTCAAGAAAGCATTCCTGATATCGCCGCTTTGATAGTTACAATCAAAGGCGATCCTTTAATTGTAGAAAATGGAACAATTACTATTCTCGCAGGTTTACTGGTCGCATTCGTGAACTCAGGTGGGCTATAAACATATTTGCTTTGGGAAGTTTCATGATAGAAACCAGATTCAGGTGATTACGACGCTAGGTATCGAGTACTTCTTAGGCATCTTGCAACATTGCTATGTGTTGTGTGGGAAGAACTTGAAGACGTCAGTCAGTTTGTTGTAGACCTAGACCTCCTCAATAGAATTTGATGGAGCGCTTTTAGATCGAAGACACATTGGCGAGTACGATCGTCAACGAGGTTTTCAAGGAAACAAAGTAAGCAGTAGCTGTTATTTTCTTTTGTTTTCATCTATATATTCTAACTATTTCAATACCTAAGAGTCAAGATTTCAGAGATAGCGGACAACCGTGAGTTAGTTGTGTAGTGAAGAGTGCTGTTTGCATAGAATTTCCACCGCTGTTGCAGACCGTTCTTCTGGAAAGTAGCATTACAGGCACTCGCAACTGGCTCGAGAGAAGGCGCAAAGGAACAAGAAAATCAAACGATTTCTCCTCGTTGGAGCCGCTGGAGGCATAGGAGGAGTACTCATCGGTAAACTGCTTTCTTTTCATTTATTACGTTCTTGCTCATGTGGTATTTTGGAAACAGCCGCGGGTTTTCTCTTCTTGGAACTCTTTTTATTTCGAACTATCAGGTGACGATCGTTCCAACTGGAAAGTTCCATGTAGATATATCTAGGTTGTTCGAAAAGTCCTGCGACACTTTGATTGAATTGTTCTAGAAAAAGACCAAAAATCATTTTGGATGTTTTTATCCCTGATTAGTGGAGACTGTCCTCTGGGGTTTCTGCACATGGGTATATCATGACTTTGAGGAAGTTTTCAAAGCTTAAAAGTCCCCAGAGATCGAGGTACTTTTCGACCTGTCCCATATTATGAGTTCCTGTAGGGCCACTTCGCCGTAGTCAAGGAAGCTGACACCTACGTTGTCTTGAGGAAGGATATCGCTTGCCATGGCAGAGGGTAGCTTTTGCATCAGCGCTTCTAAGCTGGACTTATTTAACTCGTAGTTGGGCAATGTATAGGTCGCCCATCAGCACAGAATGACGGCCCTTTACTCAAGCTTCTTGAGGCGCAGCCGAACGTAACCACCGGTAAGTTGGCGACCTCTCTAGGCTCCATCTGACTGACAACTGCCATGCTTCCGCAATCTCGGTTATCGGAAAAATTTTTTGTGAAGGATGCCTCATGAGTTGGACCCGTCTGACAAGTCATACCGAATGACCGTGACTGAGTTTTCTTTTCCTTGTACACAGCGTAGGAACTTTTGTGAGATCTTGTGGTTGGTAGCGAGTGGTGGAGTCCTTGCGTACATCATGCACATGTCCCTTGCAGGATCTCTCAAACAGTAGATTGCTTAGCCAAAAGAAGATGTGCATGGGATAAAGATTTCAGTGTGTTATTGGTGGGACTTCAAAGCGGTATCACTGGATACCAGCACCGTTGTAAGGACCACAGTCCACCTTAATCGACTTATATGGATGACGTCACGCTTGAATTCATTCAGAAATACTCAATTTTTCTCTACTACTCGGTAATGCGAGGACCGCTGTGGGGATCAGGCTACGCCAAAAGATCATGCATTTCGATCAGAGAATGCGACCGTACTCAGGTTATTTAACAAAGTTAGCAGCCTCTAATTACCACCTCCTTTGGTCACTATCGCATCCTTCAAAAGCAAAAGTTCCGAAAATCAACCTCAACTCGAGAATGAGGTCCACCTCTTCTTTTTACCACAGTTGCCGTAGTTCTATGAGAATGGAAATGAGAAGCTGTGCAAAAGAAGGGCACTAGTCCTAGTCCTTAGTGGTGATTACCTTGTAGATTGGAGATGTCTTTTAGTGACTGAAAATTTAGTCCGAAAAATTGGTCAAAGTGTCGCAGGACTTTTCGAACAACCTAATATGTAGTGTGCAACCTGAATATGGGCTCCGCTATGTATAGGAGGGATCACGTGCCTAGCGCTTTTGTACTTCATTTCACTGAAAGCTAGCTAGAGTGAAGAACTCATGAGGGTTTTCTGTGGCGTTTCAGGTCTCACAGGAGGTCTGGCAGCTCCTCTTGTGGCCGCTGGTGCAGGTATGATCATCGGCTCAGGCGCTGCTGGTTTGGCCACCACGGCAGGTGCAGCCGTTCTAGGGACGACGTTTGGAGTCGCTGGAGCAGGACTGGCTGGGTATAAGGTTAGAAGGTGAATAAAAAAGTAAAACTTCGCTTGTGATTCATCTTCTTGCAGATGAATAAGCGGGTTGGTGCGATTGAAGAGTTCTCAGTTGAAACCCTTTCGGAAGGCCTCAGTCTCCACTGCGCTCTGGTGGTTTCCGGATGGATTGAGGAAGACACGGTAGCGATCATGCATAGGTTCAGGCGTTGAACGTAAGGACCAGTCATATCAACGTTTCAGTCATGTGAACAGGCGTTTGAACACCAGTGGAGACATCTCAGTTTGGCGCGGGAACAGTACACACTACGGTATGAGAGCAAGTATCTGATGGAACTCGGTAAGGCCATGGACTACATAATGGGTTTTGCCGTTTCTGTCGCTATTCAGCAAACCCTCATGGAAACAGTGTTGGCAGGTAATTCACAGCCTTTTCTCATTCCAGCGTTCCCCTTTTTAGCCTACAAATGGCTTCATATTCAGGTTTGGTGTCTGCGGTGGCATGGCCAGTAGCGATTGTTTCAGCCGCTTCAGTTCTCGACAATCCGTGGAACGTGTGCGTGGCCAGAGCAGCGGAGGTTCACATTCAGCTGTTGATAGTAACCCCGACTGGGATTGTTCAACCTCCTTTTCGAAATTCCGCCTGTCGGATTTTTCTCTTTGGGTTGATTCGGTCAGATTTTTATCTCCGAGGATACTTTGACCTGCTGAGGACGAATTTCATAATCGCATGGAACGGATTCCCCCAGTGCTATTGCATGTGGTGCGGTGGGGTTTCCCAGCGAGGGATTTCGCGTTTTTTTTGCCTTTGAGGACGATCTTCTCGGTTAATGACTTTTTAACGTACTCTTCCCCCCCCCCCGCCTTCCTTCTTTTCCATGGTAGTCTTACGGGGAAATGTGATGGCTTTGAAAAAAATCCCGAAAAAGTGGTAGAAAATTGCTAGAAAC